TTTTGTTAGCACTGCATTATTTTAGCGGTTAATACGAGCCATGCACCTTATTTTATGATAGTAACTTGTTGGTACCACCCTTTGCTTGCTTTGAATCTCTTTTGGCTTTTCTGTGTTTATATAGCACGAGTACGTTGTTGTTGTTTTTTTTAGTTTGGTAATTACTAGTAGTTCTACGCTTGGAGTTGATCGAGTTTGTATCGTGTTTAAATAAGAATGTACTTTTGATTTTTAATTATCATTTGTTTTGTGTATGAAAAAACAAGTATGCTTTGGGGATAGTGATTGAGTTAGTGATAAACTGATAAGTCATTGGTTTAATCTTGTATGAATGAATGTTCAAGTTGCCAATATGACTTGCATTTTAAAAGTGTTAAGAGTTTCATGTACGTAGTAAGAGGACATGTGAACAAAAGAAGTGAACCCATAATTTTATGGACTTAATTTGTTACGTGCAGTAGGATAACTTAGATAAAACCAATTAAAACGTATTTTTTTGGTGAAATTTTGATCAAGTACTTGTAAACGATGAGGATATAAGCTTCATCACACATATTTTCAAGGTGCACATATTTATATTTACATTAGTACATAATACATGTGAAGTCATTCAACATTAAATAATGGGATCTCCACTATTGCAAAGGTCAAACAAATGAAGTAAGCTTTGTACAACAAAAAATCAGCTAAATTTTTGGGGCCTTGTACCTCATTACTTCATTAGCACCATTAAAATCATTTAAAATAATGCTAAAATAATAAACATAGTCTTGAATTAAGCAATATTAATATGGTAACCAACATTCTTAAGTAAGTTAAAAAAATAGAAATCCAAGAGTAGTTTAAGATTAGGAGAATACTAAGATGACAAAATGAAGAACCAAATACGGATAAAAAGGTGTTTATGCCGGAAATTCTGCAGTAAGTTGTCGGTGTTAATTGTCTGCTAAATACTCTTTAAAAGGTTAGACAAAGAATAATAAATATAAAAGGGACTGGTCCAACAGATAAATAAACTACGCAAAAGAATATGCTAAACCTTTTCTATTTTATATTTATTTTTATTTTATTATAATAATTATTATTATTTCCTATGTTATTTTTAACTTGACCTGTTTCTTTTATCACGCTTGTTCATGCAAAACTTTAACGATCAATAATTTTAATTATTCATAAGTAAAAATTATAAAAGTTATATATTATGATAGTACTTATTGAAATAAATTTAAAAAGATTTCAAATGAATATGTTCTTACTTACATATTATTCACTAAAGATGGTCAAAAAAGGGGTGTTGAATAGCGTAAAAGTCAAATCGGATCAAGTAAAAAAGAACGGAAGAAGTATTTTTTATTTTTTTATTTTTACTTTTTTTTTAAGGATGAAGGAACAACATCTGCCGTTCAGGCTCACCCTTTTTTCTTTACAATTTTTAATTATTTTTTCTTTTTTCTTTCTGCTAAAAACTTTTTCAAGTTGTTTCCTTTTTTTGCAAAGAAAGAATTTACACTTTTTATTTTGAGCTGATTTTGTATTAGACGGTCTAAACAAGCGTTTTTGTCTGTTAATCAAACTATTTAACTTTTATATCCTTTATTTAGTTTATTATACACTCAGTTACACCTAAAGTCTAAAGATACATGTAATTAAGGTTTTTTTTATTTTTTATTTTATTTTATTTGTTTTTTTTTTATCCCATTTAATAAACCTACCCACTTAGCTCTTGGTATACTCGAAAGCTAATAAAATTTTTATATTAAGTTGTTTCACTCCTCGTTCTTAATTTTTATATGAAGTATTTTCTTACTGATTTAATCTTAAAACAAAGTGTTACAATGGGTATGTTGTCTGTTCTTTTAAGCTGCTTTGCTCTATTGAAATCTGCTTGACTTAATATTAATAAATAATAAATAATAATAATAATTATAATTAGTACGAACAATTTATTATTTTTTAATAAATTTAATAATCAATCAATAAAATTAATAATAATTAATAAAATTAATAATTAATAATTAATTAATATAATTAATATAACAATTATAAAAAGCATAAATAAAAGATTATAATTATAGCGCTAAAAAAACGATAATATTTTAACGATAATATAAACAATAAAATACGACAATTTTTAATTGGATAATAATAATAATAATAATAATAATAATAATAATAATAATAATAATAATCCTGCTGTGCTGGGGGAATATATTGCTAGTGCTCCTCTCACGTCACTTGTTAAGCCTGGTGGTGGTATTCGACCTATTGTTATGGGTACTGTTTGGAGGCGTTTAGTTTCAAAGGTTGGGGCTGCTTTAATTGGTCTGAGTCTGGGAAGCTATTTAGGAGGTCTTCAGTTTGTTGCTGGGGTGTCGGTATTGGGGTCGCAACAGAGCGGAGCGTTGCTAAAGGAGGTGCGCGCTCTGCCCGGGTACGAGAGGGAACAATTAGTTCATAAGGACCACCGTTGTATAACCACTCATCAGCCGACGCCGCTTCCCACTTCCTATCAAAGCTCTAGTCTCCGGACTTGAAGAAAAGGGTGCCTACGATACGACTATCCTTCATGCTGTTAATAGTTTGGTTGAGCCTCGTGGTGGTGATGTTGGCCTCTTTATGTTGATGATGGATTTACATAATACCTTCAATTTGATTGATCGTTCGGCTATGTTGCGTGAGGTTCGTCTTCGTTGTCCAGCTTTCTCTAGTTGGGTTGAATTCTGTTTTTTGACTCCAGCCAGGTTGTTTTATGGGGAGCATACCTTATGATCATGTCAAGGAGTACAACAGGGTGATCTTCTTGGCCTTTTGCTTTTTGCTTTGGTTCTCCATCCGTTGGTGTGTCGTATCAGGGATTCTTTTGACTTATGTTTACAGCCTTGGTATTTGGATGATGACACTATTATTGGTGACACCTTGGTGGTAGGAAAGGTTATGAAGTTGATTTTGGCGGAGGGACCTCGTCTTGGCCTCCATGTTAGTTTTCTGGCCATCAAAGGACCCACATAGCCGACTCGTGGGTGTCTTTCCTCTTGAAATTGCTCGTCCTATACATGGTGTTAAGTTGCTGGGTGGTCCTGTTAGAGCAGATTTCTCTTTTTGTGGTGAACTTGTTTCGCAGAGAGTGTCAAGACCATTGTGCTAATGGATGATGTTGCTAAGCTTGATGATCCCCAATATGAGTTGTTACTACTTCGTGCGTGTACTGGGGTTTCAAAACTCTACGTACTTTGCTATGTGCACTTGTCCTCCTCGTCTTTTTGAAGTGGCCCAGCTATCTTTTGATGTGGTCCTTCAGGCTTCTTTGGAGCGCAGTGTCACTGCTTCGGGGCTTGGTTTTGGTGATTGGCAATGGCGACTTGCCACCTTACCTTTTGCTTATGGAGAACTGGGTGTTTATTCAGCGGGTGATGTTCGGCACTATGCTTTCCTTGCGTCGCGTTTGCAATCTACTGGTCTTCAGGCTACGCTTCTTAGCAATTTTGGTATTGTTGATCCGGGACCAGCCTTTGATGATGCTCTTAGTCTTTTTAATGGGGCTGTGGACTTTGAACTTATGAGTAACTCTAATGAGATCGCTGCCCCCAAACTCATGAAAAAATTGACAGATATATATTTCAAAAAGGTTACTGCATCTGCAATATCCACTTTCTTCTTATCTCCGCGTCAGGTTTCCTTATGGAAGTCCGAGTAGGGGGATCACTCATCTGGTTGCGGGCGGTCCCAATCTTGGGTTTGGGTCAAACTATGAATGGTAAGGCTTATCGTTGTGTTCTTTGCTACCGATTGGGTGTTCGTTTATTCTCCGTTTTGACATCGTTTTCAGCTTGCTCAAGGGTTTTTGATGGGGATATTTTTGGGGACCATGCAATGTCTTGTGCAAGGATGGTGGGTATTAAACATCGGCATAATGTTGTTCGTGATACCCTTGTTGATATTTGTATTCGGTCTGGGATTTTTGCAAGAAAGAGGTTGGCGTTGGGTTGATTGCAGATGTGTTACTTTATTCCTAGGACAGAGGCCTTGATTTGTGTGTTGACTTGACGGAGGTCTTCTCCTTTAACACAATTTGGGTTATCTGACTTTGTACCTGGTCACTTGCGTCGGTTGCAGCTCAGTGGAAGCTAGACAAATATGGGCTGCGTTGCAGGGCTATTGGCTATGGTTTTCTCTCTTTCTCCTTTTCTTCAATAGGGGAATTAGAGAAGGAGGGATTGCTGAGCGGGTTCAGGCGTTTGCTAGGACTCAGGATATTAGTGCTCGTGTAGCTGTTTACATCTTCAGCAGAATCGGGTTCGCTATAGCTAGAGGGGTGGGGCCCCAGATTGTATCTCGGCTCCTTACTAATTTCTTGTAAATCGTTTAACTTTGTAGGTTTTTGTTAATAATAATAATAATAATAACAATAATAATAATAATAATAATAATAATAATAATAACTACTGGTCTGCTATGCTGAAATTTACTCTGTTCTAAAAGCTCTAAAGAACATGGCCATAATACTCCGTAACTTTTAGTCTTTGTGTTTTAACTCCATAAGCAGAATGTATATGTTCTGACTATGAACGATTGTCAAAATATACATATTTAAAATACTCTCTTTGTCTCATTTTTCTTATCATATTAACCCAAAAATTCTAGCAAAAATTAGTAAAAACAAATAAGTAAAATGAGACCGAGGATTTATTTGATCTAGCAAAATAAAACCCATAAAAAATTCACCAATTTTTATATGTGGCTTGCCACATTGTGTGACCAACCATTATGAGGGTTATTTCGTTATTGTTATAGAGGAAATTCGATCAGTGTTACAGGGGTCAATTCGTCAGTGTTATAGAGGTTACTTGCTCAGTTTATAGGAATTACTCGATCAGTGCTATAAGGATTACTTTATTCTTTTACAACGACCATATGATATGACTAGTCATGTACAAAACGCGCTGTATAATTTATTTTTTACCAGAATTTGCCTTTTCTTCTGGAAAAACAAAATATTCATCATCATTAAAATAAAAAAGAAACTTTGGAGGAGGGGGCAAAGAGCTACAGAAAGGGCCAAGGAAGGTTCTTTTCTGCATCAAATCCATTTCTTTAATAAGTGCATATCTTTGTTCTCTCTGCTCTCTTTCCTTCTTCTTCATCTACATTTTCCACTTAATTCAAGGTTATATCTCAATTACTCACTGTATTTTTCTCTGTAATACTTCAAGTGGGGTGTTTAAAGTTTAATGTCTAGGCAATTTAAGCATGGTTACATAGGGTTTTCAGAGGTTTCTTCAATGGAAAACTCTGTAAATTCACCCAAATTTTCTCTGAAAACTGAGTTAAGTCTTGGATTACCAGGTTCTGAGTCACCTGAAAGGAAACCTGGGGTTACTATTTTTGGTAAGGATTTTGAAGGAAAAACCCAAAATGGGTCAATTAAAGCTTCTTCTTCTGGGGCTAAAAGGGGTTTTTCAGATGCAATTGATGGTTGTGAGAAATGGGTTTTTACTATAAATGGAAATTCTGATTCTAATTTGAGTAAAGATGGAGGGCAAAATGGTAATAATTTTACTTCTGTGGAGAACAACAATATCCCTTCTTCTCCTAAACCTGTTCAGGATAAGCAGCCTCAACTTTCTGCTGCTAATGATCAAAATTCTGCTCCTGCTTCCAAGTAAATTTTATTTTATTTTATTTGGTTACAATTTACTGCTAAAATTATAAAATATTGTTTTATTTGTGTACTATGTTTAGTTTAATTTGATACAAGTATAACTTATGTAGTTATGTTTGCATGTTTGTCTTGAATTTATGTTGCATTTTTTTCTGTTTTGATGAGTTGTTGACAGGAAATTGTTTGATTGCACTTGCTAAATTAATTGTATTTACTTCTGATCAATTTGTATACATCTTTTGGTATGCTTGCACAAGTAGAAGCATCTATACTGCTTTTGAAGCTGTTCTATATCTGTGTGTCTTAAAATATGTCTCTATTGCATTGTCTTTGATTTTGGTTTGGATACTCGGACACTTCGAGTCTAGGCGAGAATCGCTAGTACTTGAGGTGAAGTGAAGAGTCCATATAATGAAGGGTAGAAGTGTATATGCGAAGGGTGTTGTGTTAGAATTATCTGAAATGGATGATAGAACTTTTCATTATGTTATTCTGTCTCAAATTTGTGAAATTTTGGATGTCTCTTGTATGATTTAGCTACTAGTATTAGGGTAAGTTTATTGCAAGTCTTGAGCAAAGTCTTAACATGAGTCTTGCTCAAGATTCTTGCAATAAACTCACTCAAGACTCATGTGAGTCTTGCATGGAGTTTGGAAAATCCAAACCCATTTCAAGACTTTGCAAGGGAACAGTGGCGGAGCCAGGATTTGTAATCTGGGGGGACAATTTTTAGATGTTTAATAATCGACAATAATTATAAGAAAAAAGAAATTGATCACATAAATTGTTTAATATATATTTGAAATCGCTTATGAGATATGACAATTATTAATATATGGTGAAAGAGGAGTTGTTAAAAAATTAATTGCATATTAAGAAATTTATTAACCAAATTTTTTTTTTTATGCTGGTAAACCCTAATTTTAAGGTATGTAATCCTTAATAATCGATAAATATGATTTATCAAATGATAAGCATTTACACAAATTGATAGTAGATGTAAAGGGATTTGGGTTACATTTTAAAAAAAAAAATAATAATAAATAAATAAACTTTCTTTGACTAAAAATAAAATTGGAAACTTAGTTCCAAACAAGCTATAAAAAAAATAGAATTTAGGCACACATAATTAGAGAGATAAAAAAATACGGAGACATGTGTTCATTACAAATAGTTTAATAACACATTAGTAATCACTATCAACAAGGCGATACTTGATTAAACAGTTAAATGAGAGTAATTAGAGGTTTGAAGACTTATAATACTTTGTATATATAAATTACATACTATATAATGAAATTTAAAAACCAGTAAAAAAAAAATGGCAAAATCCAAAAACAAGAAAAAGAAGTTAAATAGGAGCACTTTGTATAAACTATAAAATGAAATAAAAATAAAATCCAAAAATAGCAAAAAGAAACAAAAAAATTGATCGGGTAAAGAATCGAACCTAGGATCAAAGAGAAATACAAGCTTTACTCAAGCCCATCAACCACCAGACCAAATGTTGTCTTTGTTATATAAGGTATACATGTAAGGTATTTATTCTTATTTACAGCATTTATTTAAGCTAACATAAATTAATTTTTTTTTTGGAAAAATGGGGGGACAACCGTCCCCCCTTGTTCCTACATGGCTCCGCCCCTGCAAGGGAACAAATCCTGCCATATTTTGGTTGGTTGTCAATGAAAATTGGTCACCTCACCAACCAAAAGTTTACAATAATTTTTAAAAAATAATTAAAGATATTTTACAAGAAAATAAATATATTTTGAAGAGGATTAAGTGAGTTTGGAGTGAGTCTTGGGATAATGTGTAAATTTGGAGAAATTCTTGTATGAATCTGAATAATAAAAAAGTATTTTAAAGTTAGTGGAAAGCTGATGTGGCAGAGTCTGAAGTCTGGGTTCGAGTTTGGGGATAAACTCACCCTTATGTTTGATATAGTTCAGTTGTGATCCTCTTACTTTTTTAAGATTCCTTTTGTGTACGTGGATTATTGACTCATTGTTTGGAACAGGACACAGGTTGTGGGATGGCCACCAATTCGATCTTTCCGAAAGAATACCCTGGCATCTACTTCTGCGAAGAACAATGGGCAGGCGGAGGAGAAATCAGGAGCTGCATGCCTCTATGTCAAGGTTAGCATGGATGGTGCTCCATATTTGAGGAAGGTGGACCTCCAAACCTATAGAAACTATATGGATCTCTCTTCTGCTTTAGAGAAGATGTTCAGCTGCTTTATAACTGGTATATTTTATTTCTCCGTCTTCAGTTTGGCTCTTTTTATTTTGTTTCAATGGTCTAGATGGTGATATAATTTCATCGGAGTACATAAACATTGTCAGTTTCCACTATAATTAACGGTTGTGAATTCGTGATCTTTCTCAATGGTTATATCTTGTGAGGAAATGAGTGAATCCTACTTCTAGGACATGGTTATTTTACTTCATTTCAATTATAGATGTCCTAATCAGGAAACTCGCATGTAAAGTGTTTGAATAGTTCGAAATTTCCAAAGTTGAGCAGTACATGCACATACTTGTAGTTATATGAGCATTTGGTCCAGTACATTTGAAACATAACGTATATACAAAAGTAGGATGTCATTGTGAAACAGAGTAGTCACAATTATCTTTAAAGTCTTGATTAAACATAGGATTCTTGTTGTTTTCCTTGGATGTGGAAGCATTTATGTTATAAGAAGAGCTAAAATCAATCGGTATAATGAGTTTCCAAGGCATGCATGATCTTGACATCATCAGACGAGTAAAAATTGACCGATTTAGTATTAACGATTATGGTGCAGGTCAGTATGGCTCCAATGGGCATGTAAAACAGGATGGATTGGGCGAGAGGCAATCAACAGATCTTCAAAATGCTGAATATGTGCTGACATACGAAGACAAGGATGGTGATTGGATGTTAGTTGGTGATGTGCCCTGGAGGTAAGTGCTGTTTGTCCTTCATCTCCTTTTTTTCATAGTAGACTTTGCACTGAAAGAAATGCCTTTTGGTGAGGCTTGGTGGTCACTATATTTTCTGGTTGTCAAATACATCAACACCACCCTACTGCACAATTTCTTGCTTCGCAATAGGATTAAAGCATGATCATTGTGGCAACCTGGTCCAATGGGGTTTGTTACTGTTCTAGTTGTGATTCAAATTTTAAATTTAACTCATTTTACTCTGTGATACCCATTTTATGTTGAATTCCTTAAAAGTGGTTAGGACCTGTCATGTGTAATGGGATCAAATTGCCGTTCTGATCTGGTCAATCGGGTTGTTTGGTACTTTGGTATCATCCCCCTAGCCCCTTCCCTGTCTAGCGGCTTTGGTATCTTACCTTCTAAAGTTAAGGGAATAATTGAAAGATATGGGAAGTATATGGTTTCAAGCTTGCGGTTTGAAACTAACCTTTCTCAATTTATCATCCAAAGAAATATTGCTCATCTGCTTCATTTGAAGGACATTTATGTTGTTATGCTGATAGCTCTGGACCCTTCTGATCAATTGTTTCTGTGTTACAGGATGTTCACCGAGAACTGCAGGAAGCTTCGGATCATGAAAGGGTCAGAAGCTATTGGACTAGGTTTGTCGTAATAGAACTTTGATAATTTTATGGCTCATTAATGTCAGCTTAATCTAAAGCTTTATTTGTCTGTAAACTTATGTGGATGCCCAAATGTTGCTCAAAGATATTCATTCATTTCCTTTGACAATCTCTTTCGTTGAAAATATTGATGACTCAAATCTTCTTGTTGGCAGCTCCAAATGCAACTGAGAAGTGCAAAACTGAAGCCTGAGAACAGATGCAGGCAGCATCAGAGCAAGTAAGGAGGCATCTAGTGGAACACCAGGAGCCTTCAAGAGGTTTTGAAATTTAGGGAGTGTTTACGAGTTTATTAGATTTAATGGTTGTGAAAAAAAAAGTTATTATGTACTAGATAAATATACATTATTGTAGACATTTCAAGCTTTTATATTAACCTCCTGAGTTTGGGTGTGCATAGATAGATCCCTTTTTTTATGAAACATTTTGAGTTCAAGAGGCATGAAATTTGGATTTATAAAGTTCCACATTCAATTGATGAAAGGGCAAAATTAGTCTAATGTTCAATATAATTTAATCCCACCAAAAAACTTAAATTCTATGAAAAATCTGGACATCCTAGCTTCAAATTCAACCTGCATCTAAGTCTTTTAGAAAATGATTTGTTAGCCTAAGAATAGTTTCTTTATAATGTTAAACGGTTGAATTATCATATTCATTTTTTTTATTCTATTTTATTTTATTATTATATTTGGATTGTATTCGCCAAATTTTTAGGGGCCACCCCTGTTACTCAACATGAGAAACAAAATTTGTTTCTCAAAAGGTTAAATTTGTAAAATTACAGGTAAAACCACTACTTCAAGTAGCGGTTTATGGCAAAACCGCTACTTTAAGAAGCGGTGAAGTAGCGGTTTTGCCGATGAATAATAAAAAAAAGTGCTTTTATTTACGTTTTTGCCATTTGAGAAACATATGTTGAGAAACTTGGAATTTCTCAAATTTTCATTTCAATTTAATGAGTTGCTTAATGCACTATATACTCCAGGGTCCAAATATACACATGTTAATCATGTAATAAATCAAAACTCGGCAAGTGATGCATTTGATGCGACAAAATCTAAGGAGATACAATGTACAAGTACACATTAAGGACTCGAGAACAAGGAGAAGAAATCATACTATGCAAATAGCTTGTAAAAATACAGTCTGAAAACAAGAAAGTGGCTATTCGCAAATCAACTTCATATCCAACTCATCTTCCCAAGTTCAAGTAATGCCAGCTCAAAGTAACACTTGAAAAGGGGGATAGTATCATATAATGACGATACACTTATGATATACTCACTAAAATCTTGCAGAATTCTCAAAAGCTCATAATTGATATAGGAGAAAATATTACACTCAAAATAAATAAGATGATATTTAGAAAATACAGTATCTAGCAAATCTTGCCTAACCAAAGAAGTCAAAAGCAAAAGAAAAAAAATACTTTATATATAACATCATAGCCAAAGAAATCAATTACATACTAACTCAATAATTTTGTTGGTTAGAGGTGGAAAGTAAAAAGTTATGATTACAAAACTTGAACAAGGTAATGGAACAGTGGTAGGTGAAAGAAGAAATATATCATTGCTGTAAAATTACCTAACTGAGCTGACAGTATGCATAAAAGCCAAAAATCTGAACAAATGTTTCCTCTGCATATATTTTTGACAAACTAAGATTCAGGCTCGGAAATCTGAACATATACCATTTGAGTGTACCCATTAAATACAGAAGTTTCGAGTCTACCTAGACCTAGCCTTTGGAAGAGGTTATAACGACCATCTTCAACAATAGGTGGAACAGAGCGAGCAGGATCATATCTTGTTTGGTGGGTTAGAGATGGACCGGCCACTGGTGGAACTTCCCAAAAGACATCTAAGATTGATTCAACAAATCTACTATTCTGGAAGTGCTCAGAGTAGGAGATTAACTTGTTGCTATGATTAAAGTCATCGCGCATATAGCCTCTCACACCCCACCATGATTCACCAGGTCCACAGAGTTCATTGATATCCAGAGCTTTCTCCCAGAATGGTTTCCTTTTTGCTCTTACTCTAGCTTCATCGCTTTCTTTGAAGCAACTGTGGCCTCCTCCTGGAACAAAGTTAAACAGATTTAGCTTAATTATTAGCAAAATTAGCAACTAAGATTGTTAATTTAAATTAATTTTGATCACCATATTATAAGGTAACTCAGCACTTGGATTGTGTTTAAAGATAAAAGGATATGATACCAATTATAAGGTAACTCAGCACTTGAATTGTGTTTAACTTGGTGTTAGAAGAACGAGAGAGAAAGGGGGGTGGGGGAAAGGGGTGTTCAGGAAAACATTGAAAAACCTCAAAAAGTTCCAACAGACAAGGTGGGGTTGGCAGGGTGGTACACTGTGCATTATTCAATGAAAACCATACGAGACATAAGCTAAGATGAAAACCATACGAGAAATAAGCTAAGATGAAAACTAGGGTAGAAGCACAAGGAATTGTACCTCTTATATAACTTTGATCACAAATTTGTCTCAAGGAATAATGATCTCCAGTTCCTGTGTCATAATTATCTTCAAAGACGATATGTCTGAAACCAGCCTTTAGTGCCTGTTTCAATCTATCAAAAGCAGAATATTGAGGAAAGAAAGAAGCCTTAATTAGTGACTTGGATCATTAGCATTATAGCAAAGGAAACAAAACGTAGAAACAAACGCTGCAAGGTGTTTACAAGGACAAAACGATCAACATTTGTTGGTTAGGTAATGATACCTTTTCAGTTCACTCTGATGGTCATCAAAGAAGATAAGAACTCGACTGAGATCAGTAACCCCATGTTTCTTCATTACACTTTTCCAATCAACATTTCCAAAATCTACAAAGTCTTTTCCTGCAAAGTATGTGCAATTTTGATCAACATAAGCTGGACCCTTCTTCAGATACTTCTCAGGATGACGAGGAGTCACTGATATTATCCTAGTGTATGGCATAGCTTGTCGCAGCACCCATGTGGAATGCCCTTTAAAAGCGCCACTCTCTATCATGAGATCTGGCTTCAACCACCTTGCAATAAACCACAGTCCAAAGCTATGGTCAAATCCCATGCCAAACATGTTATTTTTGATCGGCCGAGTTTCATATATAGGTATAAATTCTTCCAATCCACTAATGAGATCCTTGGAAGTCCATTCTACCGATTTTCCATGTTTCGATCTGCCTTTTGCCAACAAGAACAATTAAAATGGTGCAGACCGTAAGAACTAGATCATGTTTGGGTCTGTCTACGTAATATGATACTTAAACAACAAGCTATAAACATGGAAAACAAGGTCAACAAAAGAATCACTGATAAAACATGATAAAGGCACATAGCACAAAGGCAACATATTCAACAGACATAATCCCTCATCGTAGATTCAAATAGTGTGCTTTAGGTGACCTCGCATAGTCGCATATAGATTAAACGAGCAGAATAAATAGGCCATTCCATATATATGCATTCATGCAGAGTTGCAGATAAGGACAGAATTTATGAGCCTAATTTTTGGTTGTGCTTCTGGCATAGGGAACAAGATGTTAACTAAATTAAATCAGGCTGACTGCAGATAAATGCCATTTGAATTTCTCGACACTTTAAGAGAGCTCAAGGTGTGAAAATTCATGGCATAGCTTAAAAAGATTGAAGCCAATTCGTGAATTTCTCTGTTATGGTCTGCTCACCCCAAAAAAAACTGCATTATGTTATCATCTCTAGATTGCAGCACTTGTTTGTGATTGTTAAGTTTATCTCTCTAATCTCAATTTAGATGTATCCATATATTTCAGACCTTCTGACCTTGTTATTTCAGATTTTCAGATTGATGAAAGTCTTGATTCTTCAATTGCTCAGATGCTCACCGGACTACCAGAATTGCAGATTGGACAGAGGAGAGGAGAGATGAGGTGAAGAGAGGAGAGGAGAGGAGAGGAGGAACTAAAATCAGTAGATAGAGAACGTCAAAATGAAGAAGGAGAGGAAAATGGGGAAAAAAAAAAAAGGAAAAGCTATAATTCTAGGATTTGATCTTAGTGAACAATAAAGCTCCGCCGCTGCAGCACCTGCTGGACTGTCAAACAAACAAAGATTACTACTACTTTGTATCTTATAAGTTTCAAGTGATAGAGAATATTGTGCACCACTATCACTTGGGATGATGACATTAATAGCACTATAGGGGGCCCACAAATAGAATCCCTCAGCTTTTTCTCAGAAACATCAGAAATCAATACCACACCTCAATTTCTACCTCACTGTATTTTAAAATTTGGAAATTTATTCAAAGCTTTGGATTGAAGATTTCTTGCTTTCCCCCATCAAATACTGGCATTTTTATAAGTTTTCAAGTAATTTTAACTGTATGTGATGTAACATATGGGAATTCTATGATTAGGGTTTGACAATTCAGGGTAAAACTTAATCTTATCTATACATCAAGAAACTACACAATAATTGACAGTTATGTTGAAACGATGAACCCTAATTCTTAAATTCCAAAATAGCAACTTTTACACAACTGTAAACACTTTAGAAAGGCAGTACATGATTTGGGATAGCCAAAATTTCAATCAACTACTTTAGATGAATTCCTCTATTTAAACTACGGAAGCAATTAAAGCTTTTGAGATAGATAAGTGAGGCTTTTACAATTAGAAATATACACAAAAGCAAACATACAGGAGATGGAGAAGTAAGGCTATTGTGATCGGTTATCGTAAGTCACAACCAACTCCATGTCATTTTTAAACGCAACAAAGCACACGGGCAGCATGTAAGTGCATACACCAAATCTCTGTTATCCGTGAACCCAAGAGAACCCAACCAATCGTGCAATATATGTGCCAATGCCAAATAATCATTCCTTTTCTGAAAGCTCATACTAACCAACAACTGGACATAAGAAATTGTACATAATTGCAACTAGCATCTTTCTTCAAACAAAGGAGATGCATATACAAAATTGTGGTTAGTTCAGTTCATAAATGACATGGTACATTAAGTGCATCCAATGAGCTTTTCATTAAGGCCTCCTTAGGTTTAATGTAAAATATTTTCGTGGATCATGATTTCCCATTTTCCTATGTTTGGTTTCTCAATAGTAAAAAATTGCATTCTTAATGGTGGAAAACATTTTCCTTTATAAAACAAGGGAAGCCACATTTTCCTTCCCTCCTTTTTGCTTTCCTCTCCTCTATCCTAACAGTTCCACCCCTATTTTTAATTTCTCTATAACTTTTCTTGATGGAATCAAAGAAAGGAAAACTTATTTGCAATTGATTTTCCATGAAAACTAATTTTTCATTGAAAATGTTTTACATCAAACCAAAAGCAGCCTAAGAGTCTACTGAAGACAAATACTACAATAAATTATCTAAGTATGAATATGCAGTAGATAATTAATTGGTAATTCTAGTAGCTCAACTAATCGCGATTGGCAAGTCTTTCTCATTATGTCCACGCGTGTAC